CCAACATTTATTGTTTTGGGACTTTTTGATAAAGGCCAGTCTCACTGGAGAAAAGTGATATCTCATTGTGGTTTTAATTTGCATTTCCCTGATGATTAGAGATGTTGAGCATTTTTTCATGTGTTTTTAATTAGTTTTGAAATTTTTTTTTTAACCCTTTCTGATACAGGGCTATTTGAAGTCTACTTTTGGTTCAGTTTATTTTGATTTTGGTTTAAAGGGCCATCTCAGTTGAGAAAGTCACAACGCAAAGATAGATATTTCCAAATGAAATAAAGTAGGCTTGACTGCACTCACTAAATTGAGATTCTTATTTTTCAATCTGATTTAGTAATTAAATATATGTTTTTATGAAAATTCATATTCTCTGATGTCAATCAGTTGTTTTTGCAAACTAATCTAAAGGCGTTTCATTTTCATTTTATGCACGTGGATTTTAACCCATTGAAACTCTATATTACATTGCTGGAGGTGCTGTAACAAAACGCCACAGATTGGGTGGCTTCAACAACAGAAACTTATTGTCTTACAGTTCTGGAGGCTGCAGATCCAAGATCAAGGTGTCAGCAGGTCTGGTTTCTCCCGAGGCCTTGCTCCTTGGCTTGCAGATGGCTGCCTTTTTGCCACGTCCTCACATGGTCTTTCCTCTGTGTGCACCTATCCCTGGTGTCTCTTGGTTTGTCCTAATCTCCTCTTACAAGGACACCAGTCAGATTGACTAGGGCCCACCCCAACAGTCCCATTTTAATTTAAGTACCTCTTTAAAGACCCCATCTCCAAATACAGTCACATTCTGAGGTACTGGAGGTTAAGGCTTCAACATTTGAATTTGGGGCAGGGAACCCAATTCCGTTCATGTCAAACTTAATTTGAAAGGTTTTAAAAACAGGTTAAAATTCTATTTCTTATTTTAAGAAAACAGAATTGTTATGGCGTTCACCATTCTCATCAGGAAAATCACATAACATGGGAATGTTTCCAAATATCTGTTCGTAAAGGCTCTCTCCAAAGTGTAAATTTCTTTCAAAAAGCAATAACTTCTCTTATTCATTGAGGAAATATCACCTTTTTCTTGAAGAAGCAGATCAAGATGTTATTGAAAAATATTTTCCAGGTTAAAAAGCAAATACTGACAGAGACTGATCACAGAAAAGGCTAACATATTTTTTCACTTGTCTTTTGTAAAAAGAAAAATGCATAATGTTTCTAAGTACTTTGCCATGAGTTAACAGTGAACTCGCACATGGTACAATGGATTTTCAACATTACTCTGACCTCTTATACAGAGCCTATGTATTAAGAAAATAGGAGGCTGGGTGCAGTGGCTCATGCCTGTAATCCCAGCACTTTGGGAGGCCAAGGCGGGAAGATCGCTTGAGGCCAGGAGTTCAAGACCAGCCAGAGCAACATAGCAAGACCCATCTCTACAAAAATATGTAAAAAAAAATTAGCATTAGCTGGACATGGTGGCACACACTTGTAGTCCCAGCTGAGGCGGGAGGATTGCTTGAGCCCTGAGTTTGAGATTGCAGGGAGATATGAGGACACCACTGCATTCCAGCCTGGGCAACTTTGAGGGGAGACCATATCTCTGGGGGAAAAAAAAAGGACCATCAACCCATTTAACTGGGTGCATTCAATTAAAAGTGAAATAAAATTTTTAAAAGTAAAAAAGTGAAGGCATCAAGTCCTCTGGATCATCCACTCTTCTTTCAGGATGTATCCACGCCCTACCCGACATTTAAGGGAGAGTGGTCATCCGAATAAAAAAAATTAATAAAACTTAATTTGCTCTTATTTTTAAAAACATAATTGTAAATAGAGCCTCTAACATTTCTTCTTGCCCCTGACGGATTGTCTTGTGCATTTCCGGGGTGCCGTGTTTCACTTTGGCAAGGACCGGACTAGATGCTTAACGATAAGATTCTCAACAAAGGCAAAACCAAGGGAATGAGGAGGATGGTAATGAAAAAGTGGCTCAGGGGAAACAGGACCAATAGGATCTAATCACGAATTGGAGGTGGGGGTATAAATCAGAGGAAATGAACACATAGGCACATTTTCATGCTATTTAAAAAAATGTCTATATCCCATCTTCCCCCATGATTGTAAGTTCTTCCAGATATGAATCAAACTATAATATTTATATTCTTCCATCTTTGTGTCAGGCATGGTGCAATGTACATTCACATATATTTTCTCTGCAAAGACTAAAGTGTCTTCCACCTGTTTGTAGACTTTGTGCCTCAAAATTTTGCAAACTGTAGCTGCTCCATGAACAGGGCCGCCATGAAAGCCCACAGCAAGGTGGCTGCCGGATCATACATCGGGCGGCATGCTGGAGCGTGGGGCCTTCTGAGTCTCAGAGAACAAGGACTTTCTTCCAAGAAATAGCCTCGATGGCCAGGCAGAAAGGTACTAGCAGAAGCCTTTACCTGAGACAACAACATTCTCTACCCCTGAACATCAGTTTCTCCTCATAATTTTAATTCCAAAAAAGTAAAAAAAAATCTAAAATATTCTTCTGGGTGTCTTACTCACAGCAAGGTTGGTCCACTGTATACTCCTCCGAATGCATCTTTGTCAATAACTGTCAAGTATTTATTCTTGTTTAGATAACTAGAGAGAGAGAGAGAGAGAATAAATTAGGTGAGTTCAAACAATCACACAAAATTAGTACAAATACCACAATAAGATGTGAACATGGTCTCCTTTGACTGATTTTCAAGAATTTAGAAGACATATTGCCTTCTTCGGGCATAAGCACTCAGAACACTCTATGTTTCGATTGTGCAAGGTTTAAACACATTAATTATGACAAAAATTTTTGAAAATGAGCATGATTATGATCTAGCTTGCATACCTAAATTTTATAAAAGTTGCCTTAATTCTGTATTTTCCTGGCCCAGCGGCAGCTGTGTTTTCTAATCTTGTTTAATATCAACTGATTTAAATTTTGTTTCTCAATATTGGTTAATATTCCCATTTACTTTTGAAAACTGGGCTAAAATCAAGAATGGAATGGAGGTGGTGAGGGTGATGAGTGGTGAGGGGACTGTCAGAAATTCAGGTCTTTTCTTTAGCTAAGATTGCCAGATTTAGTGAATAAAAATATAGAGTGCCAGTTAAATTTGAAGTTTAGATAAACAATGAATCATTTTTTTGGTATAAGAATTCCCCATGCAATTTTTTGAAAAATTCTTAAATGAAAAAGTTATCTATTGTTTGTCTGAAATTCAAATTTAACTAGGTGGTCTATATTTTATCTGATAACCCTATTGTGGAGGAGGGCGGTGTTCAGGCAAATAAGATTACAGAGTATAACTTCCATGGAAGAGGTTTGATGGGCCCATTGATCTTTCCATTTTAAAAACAACTGGGCATTTGAGGGTAAAATGCTTTTGAAGCAATTTAAGTCACAAAGCAATTTGGAAATACAATTCCCTCCAAATGGATGAAAGCTTCCAAGGATTTTGAAACTGCCCTTTCCCCCCCCACAGCTTTTTTAGAGAACAAAATTACCTAAAAAGAAACAGCGCATATATATCCTTGTTATAAGTGATCTCAATTTACATGTTTAGAATAACTCACAACATAGCCTAGTGAGTGGCCACCTGTCGATGCAAAACAAACAGCAGAGACCCTTAGGAGGTCTGCTTAGATATGGATAATGCTTCCATTATTCTACTTATAGGGTTTGCTCTTTCTGATGGAAAATTTTTAAGGATGATGATTAATAGTGATATTAAGGCTTTGATGAGAAAGATTTCTTCTTCAGAGCCCTCATGGAGAAACTTCCCCCTGGTTAATTGGACCCAGACATGAGACTTCATTAGAGCAGGGGCGGGTTGGGGGAAGAAGAGTTTTACCAACCACAGATGGGCAGGATGAGGGATTAACCAAGTAACAAGTAAGTACTGAGACTCCACACAATGAGATCTCATAAACTGGTATACAAATTTGAGTCTTTCAATTTTCTTCTTAAATAGAGATCGAGAACTACCTAATCTAAAATAGCCATCACTATTTTGCTGTATGAACATCAATCACTAAAAACATACATCACTATTTCAGTGTATACCCAATGCCAAGCTTAGTGCTTCTGTAACTATTTGTTGGATGAATGTGCGAGTGAGTGAAAAACAAATCAATACACCTTTTTTCCCAGATAGTGAAGTGGGCAATGGCAAACTCTTAGGGTGACACCAGTGATTGCTTTAAAGAAAAAATCATGAAGAATGAAAGATTAGAATTGGTATGTGGTGTGGTGCATTTAACCAAGTGACCTTCTCCATGGCAGTGATGGTTAAGGCAGCTGGTTTATAAACACTACAAGGGTATGGCCCAGACATGGCTTCTTCAGGTAGCAGCTGGACACCCGGCTTCTTCAGGTAGCAGCTGGACACCCAGCTTCCAGGGCATTATTATGTGTGACTTGGAGAGGATCAATTAGTCTCCTATATGTTCAAAGACCCAAGATGATAAAGCATCCAGTTTGTGCCTTCCCAATGGCTCCAATCACAGTCCCACTTCATCATCATTTGAACCTTCTTTCACCCACTATGTCCACAGAGTTCCTTTGGTCAGTGACCGCTAGAGTGGGCAAGAGCCACCTTGGAGAAAACAACTGGAGAGAAGATCTTGAACAGCACAATTTTATAAAAATACAGCTAAGCTCAGTATAAGATCTGCACTGGCTTGCATCTCTTTTTGTATTCTTTGGACAGTGCAGCTTGCAGATCACATTATGTTCCCAGACTGTTGAAAATCAAGTAAGAGTCGGTGAGCTCATCTCAGTTTTTCCTCTTCATCTCCAAGTGCTGCAAGTGAAAATCGGCTTGCTCTAATCATTAGAAATTGTTGTAAAAACTAAATTATTGCTTGTCCAATTCTGCAGTGTTTTCATCCGCTATTCAATACGTCCCTAAGGACGAGGAGCCTGGTTGATAAGCATTGCCGTTTACCAGAAACACTGCAGAAGGCTTCAAACTGGGAAAGCCAGCCAGAGTCCAGGAGGGGAGAAGGAGGATGCGGAGGAGACACAGCCAGCTTGAACGGAGATGAACTGATCTTGCAGGAAGCTGTGTTCTCTAACACCAACACGGTTGTTTGGGTACTTCACCTCTTGGAGATAATTAAGTGCTTAAAAATGAAACTGTCACTTTGCCTTTAGCAGTTTTGAGGGCTGCCTCGTTTAGCTTTAAATTTTGGTTCTGATTGCTGCTCCTACCTTCCATCTGAAGCCAAGAGAGTGGGGAGGGGACAGATATGCAGAAGGCTTAATATCTAGAAAGTGTCCCCATCAAGTTCATTTATCATATAACATAGGACATTCTGGCAATGTCAGTCCAGTTAAACTGATTCCTTGAGCACGACTTATCCTGAATTCTTTGGAATCTACATTTTATAAACCAGCTTGTGTAAATCAATCGCAAATCTTGGTAGGCTATGTGGATAACCTATTCTAGACAATGATGATTTTATAGAGGGGTGGTAATTTAAACTATCACTTGCAAGGAGAAGATGAACACAAATGAACTTAAAAGAGAATAGAAAGGCTACAGTAAGAGATGAAAGGAAAGACTTCTTGAAAGTCAGGATTTCTAAATGTAAATCCTGGGAAGGGCTTATGGGAAAAGAACTGGTATTTCCTTTAAAAATAAGATAGATGCTGCTACATCTGTGTGTATTCAACAGCTTTTCACTGTGTGGGAGGCTTATTCCTCTTTGAGAACCTGTTGGAAGAAATGACATTCTTCTTAGAAAAGAGATGCCATTTTCTATACAGGGAGTTAAGATGCCCTGCCCTGATTTAAAATTGTGTATTATATAGGGTAAAATCCCGTAGTCAGGAAAATGAATGTGGTCAGGAATGAGTTGGGGAAAAATATCCAGTTGACAAACTCAGTGTTCTGTGTACAATGTGTGTGTGTACATTCTTCTCTGCTGGACTCACTTTTGGCACATAGCAGTCATTCAGTAAAGACCTGCTGGATGAATAAATGAAAGCCAGTTGCTGGGTAACTCCTAGAGAGAGGCACCCTCTATGCCATGTTTAGAAGGAAGTGATCTATGTCAGAGAGAGGAGCATGATACTGTGGCAAGGAAATTCGCTGTCACTGCAGAACTTTGCTTTCTGGGGAGTTTTAGGATACACGTTAGCTCCAAGATGGAATTTCAGCCTGTGCCTCACAATCCCTTTAGGGGAGACTTGGGCTGGCACCTGGCTATGTTGGGAGACTCACATGGGAACTCTTCTCTGGGGAACCATGTTTCCCTCCCATAGCTCTGGTGACTCAGAAAAGTAAAGGGATCCCCTGCCCAGCTCTCAAGGTAGTCGAAAGAGAAGCTGAATTGCTCTATGGAAATCATTTTGGAAGCAGAAATCAGGTTGTAAAGAGTAACAGGTGAAAAAATGCTCAAGTTTTCAATAGGCAGAGGAAAATTCAGCCTTAGAGCATATCCTGCAAGCTGTTCAAATACTTACCCCATGAGAAATAATAGCCTGCTTAATCCAATAATCTTCTCTATCATCATCTTTTCCCAGAGCTCCAAGCTGTGGTGTTTTACTTCTAATCGCCTAATCTGTGATGCTAATTAACATACTGTGTTGACTCTCTGTTCTTAATAATTAGTGTCTTGGTAGGTTCTTAGCACATCAAAATGTTATTTTTATTCCTGCCCAAATGTTTACTGTCAGATAGCAGCTAGTTCCTAGAATTTGATCATAGAAAATGCCATACAGAGACTCAGACATTCTGTGAGAAGCAGCATATCCCCATGCAGATCGTGTGAAAAGAGACGATGGAAAAGAGGTTCCAAAGAATGAATGACTTGACTTGTGACTGAGTGCAGTTCCACTTCTGTTGAGCAAGGGATGCTCGTATTATTATTAATTTCACATCTGAGTGATGACAACATGCTTGGCTCCATAGAAAATCACAGGACAATGTGCTTTTACACATCTGCCATCATTTTCATGAAACCCTAACTAATTAACTGCTGCTGAGGTATCAGCACTTGTGCTTAATGTGGAATTTATCTAACTTGGCTGTAATTGTATTATTTAGTTACACTAAAAACATGGGTGTAAATGAGGTCAAATCTGCTAATTTCAGTAAATTTTCATGAGGTGGAATGATCACTCTTTTGGATGACACATGGTTTAAATTAGAACCTAAAGATATCTGAACACACTTCAGCAGAAATTACCAAATTGCTAATGTGCTATGTGCAATCCTTGAACACTATTAGGATAATAATAGGAGATTGATGTGTTTGCCTTAGTTTAAAATCATAATTAGCATTGAGACCAGAAACAACATCTCTATGTTAAAAGCACGAAATGAATAGTATTTCATAATTACTATGGAACTTGACCTCTGTTTCCTTTACCTAAAGCTCAATCCTTGTCTTCCTCCAGTCCCAGAGCTCCTTATCATCTTGATTTTACATTGAATTTACTTGATACCTTTTACTGAAGAGCTTAAATCTAGGAAAGAATAAATTTCCACCAACCAGGAATCAGAAATTTAGGGTAGAATGATGGAGCATTGTTTTGTAACAGGAGCAGTTTCCAGTTTGGATCCAAATACTGATTTGAAAAAAAATCTTTGTTTTCTATTATGATTGGCTCTGTACTTTCTAACCCTGAAAATATTTTTATCCAGATACTTCTTATCTTTATCCCATGCTTGCCCTTTAACCTTTGCCAGGAATTGTGAGAAACAGACTACGTATTTTACCACTCAATGGTCATCCTCACTGGATACTTTTATCTGGAGGTCTGCAAATCATGACCCTCCAGTCAAATCCTGCCTTCCTTTGTTTTTGTAAATAAAGTTTTATTGGAACATAACCACACTCATTTGTTTATGTATTGTCTATAGGTGCTTTCACACTCCAATGGCAGAGTTAAGTAGCTGCAACTAAGACCATATGTTCCACAAAGCCCAAAATATTTGCTATCTGGGCCCTTCCCAGAAAAAGTTTGCTGACCCCTGGTCTAAACTTTTAGAAACTCAGAAACAAATCATTCTTAACTAAGAAACATTTCCCACATTTGTGCAAGTCTCCCAAATATCTTTAATACTGAACATAGAAACGTCAAGAAAGTATTGTGAAATGGATTTCTTTCCTGCATTTCAAGGGATAGTTACTACATAGGGCACCAGTGAATTAAAATCCATTGTCTCCAACAGAATAACTCTCTGCCATCAGCCAGGCCTCTCACAGAGCCCGTGATAAGTACTGTGGTGGGAAGGGAGAGAGAGGTAGAGAGAGAGGTACAGCATGTTCTGGAATAATGTTTCATTCAATGTCATTTTGTTATAACATTGATGAGACAAAAATGACTTCCTGGCTGGGCCACTGTCTGTGAGGAGTTTGCATATTCTCCCCATGTCTGCGCAGCTTTTCTCTGGGTACTCCAGTTTCTTTCCATAATCCTAAAGATGTGTGTGGCAGGTTCATTGGTGTGTCTACATGGTTCCAATCTGAGTGCGTGTGGGGGTGTGTGTGAGTGTGCCCTGCCATGGGATGGCGTTCCGGCCAGGGCTGGTGCCTGCCTTGTGCTCTGGGCTGCTGGGATAGTAGAGATGGGGTCTCACTCTCTTGCTCAGGCTGGTCTCGAACTCCTGAGCTCAAGCAATCCTCCCGTCTCGGCCTCCCAGAGTGCTAGGATTATAGGCGTAAGCCACCGCGCCCGGCCCTGTAATATTCTTTAAAGTAAGTAAAGTGTTTCCCTGAGTTCTGTGAGCTCTCTAGCAAATTAATTGAACTGAGGAGGGGGTCATGGAAACTCTGATTTATGGCTGGTGGGTCAGAAGCACAGGTGACAGCCTGGGTACTCTGATTGGCATCTGAAGTCGAGGGCAGTTTTGAGGACTGAGCCTTTAACTCACGGGATTGGACTCTCTTTCCAAGTAGATAGTGTCAGAATGGAGTTAAATTGCCCGCCGAGCTGGTGTCTGTTGGAGAATTGATTGCTTGGTGTGTGGAAAAAAGCCTCCATGCATTTGGTGTCAGAAGTGTTGTGTTGAGTGTGTGAATGTAGGAAAACACTTAGGCTTTTCCTATCTCTTGGAGGTATTGATACTATTCACTAAAAAGTGCTCTGTGGAACACCAGACCAGATAGATGATCCTGGAACCAAGAGCTACCTGGGAAGCTCTGCACACTATAGCTCTCACTTGGATACTAGTAATTCAGATTATTCTATTAAAAGTACACCTATATACTTTGTTTAACTTTCTAAGATCATGAATTGCTTTTTAAAAGTAATACCCATTAACTTACCATGGAAAAAGAGCCGAACAAACATAGCTTGAACAAATGAAGCCTCCCCCTATCCCTTCTCTTATCACAAAGGCTGAGGAGAGGCTGGGACAGAAATTATTGTTTCCTTGTTAGTTTTTCTGTTCTTTCAATGGAAAATGTCTCTAAACCCCTTTGGTATTCTGTAGCTGATTTTATGGCCAAAGCCGTAAAATAATAGGCTGTTAGATGGGACGCACACTGAGATCCACTTAGCACAGTGGAGTCCCTGATTACATAAGACCCCTTTTGAAAGTCTCTTGAAGTCTTTTCAGGGTCCTCTAAATATGACCAGGAGGCCAATTGTAGCAGTAGTGAGATGTTTTGAAGCAAAATAGTCAATATATATGGCCTTACTTTAACCCCGATTCTTACTTAACCCCAGCATTTTCACTGATTGTCTCCCATGCAGATTTCATCAGAAAGCTCACTGAGCTGGTGGCTTTGCTGCACTGGTAAAGTCAGGTTCTCACTGAATAGTGACACTGGTGCTCGGTGTAATTGCCCTCTCTGAAACTTCTCCTGATTACGCCTTGAGTTTTGGGTTGCCTCCTTTGTCTCACATGAATGAGCCTATTCTTTCCAGGTACAAGATATTTTAACTTCTGTATTTAATGCCTTTGATGGACTGAGCTAAGAAGACTAAACAATCTCCAGGGCTAAGAAACAAGCAGCAGTGGCCAGAGGAGTCAGATGTCCACACCTTGGTGGTGTCTGGTAAGTCAACAATGGTGAATCCCAGCTCAGGGCAGGGAAAAGAGTCCTAAACCAGGGGATCCAGGTGTTGGCTTTGACTCAACCACTAGACAGCTCTATGAAATTTGAAATTAAAAAAAAAGAGGCCACATGTCCTCATTGGGCTTCATTCCTCTAATATGTGAAATGTGACAACTGGACAAGAAGATTGATAATGCATTCCATAGCAGTGGTTCTTGACTTCTGCTCTGCACTGAACTCACCTGGGGATATTTTAAAATTCCCATTACCCTGGCTATACCCAAAACCTAGTAACCAGTGCTTTCAGAGCTCCTCAGTTGATCCCATTTTGTAGCCAATATTGAGAACTATTGCTCTGTACACCTTTTTATTTACTTATTTTTTTACTTGGGTCAAAGGATATATGTGCTTTACCCTTTGATAGATATTTCTTTTTAAAAAAATATTATTTCAGTAGATTTAGGGGGCAAAAGTGGATTTTGTTACATGGATGAATTGTATAGTGGTGAACTCAGGGCATTTAGTGTATCTGTCACCAGCATAGTGTGCATTGTACTCAATAGGTAATTTCTGATCCCTTACCCCTCTTCCATCCTCCTCTTCTCTCAGTTTCCAATGTCCATTATACCACTTTATGACCATATATGCCCATCATTTAGCTCCCACTTATAAGCAAGAACATGTGATATTTGTTTTCTTATTCCTGAGATACTTCACTTAGGATAATAGTCTTCAACTCCATCCAAGTTGATGCAAAAGACATTATTTCATTCTTCTGATGGCTGAGGTACTCCATGATATATATGTATATATCTACGCCATATTTTTTCATCCATTCATTAGCTGATGAGCACTTAGATTGATTCCATACCTTCGTAATTGTGAATTGTGCTGTGATAAACATTCAGATGCAAGTGTCTTTTTAATATGATGGTTTCTTTTCCTTTGGGTAGATACCCAGTAGTGGGATTGCTGGAGTGAATGACACATCTACTTTATTTCTTTGAGGCTCTCCATACTGTTTTCCATAGAGGTTGTACTAATTTCCATCCCCCCCATCAGTGTATAAGTGATCCCTTTTTACTGCATGCATGCCAACATCTATTGTTTTTTGGCTTTTTAATAATGGTCATTCTGACGGGGGTAAGGTGGTATCTTAATCTATATGCACGTTCTTTTCCATTCTGAGCCACTGCATATGCTATTTCAAGTGTGCTCCATGAACCCGCAGTATCGAGTTTGTTAGAAATACAGAATCCTGATCCCTACCTCAGGTCTACTGAATTAGAATCTGTATTTTGACAAGATCTCCCAGTCGGTTTGTGTGTCCAATAAAGTTTGAGAAGCACTGTACTACTTAACAGATTTAGAATCATAAGGCCTTCATAAGTTGTAGTGATCATTTCTGGAAATGTAAAATAACTATGTATAAAATG